CTGCCCAGGGAAGTGGTTGAGTCACCATCCCTGGAAGTATTTAACAGACGTGTAGATGTGGCGCTTAGGGACATGGTTTAGTGGGCATGGTGGTGTTGGGTTGACGGTTGGACTCAATGATCTTAGAGGTTTTTTCCAACCTTAATGATTCTATGTTTCTATGAATTCAGCTTGCCTGAAGTAGACATCTGCCTTTGGTCCCTTGAACTGCACCACAAGATCCATTGATTGCTTTGATGAAATCTCCATTGCCCGTCTCACATACAGACATAATATTTCAGTGCCTTAATCTCAATCTGAATTCTTCCCCACAGTTGCTTTCATCTTACCTTTGGCTGAAGTAGGAGTTGCACTCAACCTTAAAGAACATAGGAAAGTAGTTGGAGTGACACAGATTGTCATCTTAGTATATTTAGGCAGGTTGCACAAGGAACGAGTTTGAATTGCAGAAAGTCCAGATGGCTGAAAAAGTGGAAGGGTTTATGCCTGACATTGTTCAGAGAATTTTAGCCAAGTCACTGTGAAAGAAAATAAATTCTCATTATTCCCTTCACCATCTCGTATTATAAGGATGATTAAGGAAGTGAAAGTTTTGTTTAATTGTTCAACTGCAGGCAGCAAACATTTTAATACAAGCCATTCAGAAATAGGAATGAAAGCTGTAGGAGAATCAGTGTTAGTGTGAAAGGGGAAAAGATGGGAGGCAAATACATTTATTGATATGAATGAATACGTACTGTAGCTGGGGCAGAGCTGCACACACACACAATATTCTGCTTAATTTGTTCTTGAGAATGAGAAGATACCGTCATTTATCCAAAGTAATGTCAAGTCAGGTTACTCCCTGAGGAAAAGAAAAAAAAAAGGATACTTGGTTTGTAGAAGACTGTAGAACAGAATGGAAATACGAGGCTGTTCTCTGTTCTTTTATCAAAAAGCAAGAACCCAGGATAACCTGTTTTTTGTTTCTCAGCAGGGGAGGTTTACTTTGAAATGCATGAAGATAAAATATGCAGAGCTATAGCACAAATGCTTTTGCAAAATGCAGTTAAATTCAATCTATCAGAGTTTCAAGAAGTCTGGCAACAAAGTGTCCCTGAAGGGATGACAACAAGGCTTGATCAGCTTAAGGTAAAAACATAAAGAAGTATGGATTCTTTCATGAGTAGGCTGTTAACTGACTTGTGTCATATGTGGATTTTATCGATTAATGGGGATTGATGGTGTTATTTCTGTCAGCTTTTGAGTTAAAGTACATCTTACGGCATCCTCTATGAGCATCAGTAGTCTGGATTCATGACAATTTGGGTTTCTGTAAGTCTGGCATGTTTCACCGTTTGAAGAAAAGTTTCAGCTGTACAGCTAAGACTTGTAAATATAACTAGAACAGAAGCTGAAGCTATTGTCGAGCAGATTGTAGTGACAGCCAGTAAAGTAGCAAGCACTATGGAAATCCTTCTGCTCAAAGGAGGCAGAGAGATCTTGGGACTTAATGGATTTCCCCCTCCCTTCTTGTCATAAAGCAAATGATAAATACTGCCTGTAAAACAGCGCCTTCGTGATACTTTTTCACTTTGCCTCTAGCAGTGCAGTTTTAGAAGGCTTTGGAGGTGCAAAGGGCAACTTGTATGGATTATTGCCAGAAAGAAGGAAGTTTAATTGTTTTGTCTTTACTTAACATTTTCTCTCTGCTGATCTACAGGGCTTGGCTCTTGTGGATAAAAGCTCAAGACCAGAGACCATCTTTCTGCTAAAAGTAGAAGACTTACCCGAAGACAATCAGGAGAGATTCAACAGCTTGTTCAGCATACGGGAAAAGTGGACAGAAGTGGATATTACCCCTTATATACAGTAAGGATAGATTTCTTTTTATTAAAATATAATTAGTGTTATATTCTTCCCTTTCTGCATAGGTGACTTCTTATCAGCTATGATTGCCTCAAATACTATACTTTCCATTTTAAATGAATACAAATTCTGTATGAATAGAATCCCCACCCCTGGGAACTGTAGCTATATTCATTGGATTTAAACTTGCGTAAAAAGCTGGTCCTACTGAATTTAAATGGGCGATAACTCTGTCTTATTTGATTGAGGCAGACTTAACTCAAAGGATAAACCTCCTGACATTTATAATCAGTCTCCGTATTTACAATACAAGAACTATCAAGCAATAGTGATTCCTGTACTGCGTCCTTTGTTCTTGTGGTGGTTAACACGTACACTACAGTGCTACCTGGAAGGCCCAGCCAGGACACCTGTCAGCAGATATAGATGGTATCCCAGAAGTGACTGCATCAAACCTTTATGAGTGGCTCTAAATTTACTGTAATATAATTAAGTAGTTCCAAGCTAATGGTTTTGCTAGATTGAAAACCCTTTAGAGAGTAGTAATAATAAAACCCAACCAAGTCCCCCTAAAAAACAAAATCCTTGTTTCTGAAGTAAATGATGTAGTTCTGCCTGTTGCTTAAATGTCAAGCTGAGTTCTAAACTTTAGGTAATGTAAAGCATTATGTGACACTTACAATAGTATTTTTTTTTCTCTCAATACCCTAATCCAGTTTATTGCTATATTTACAAGTATTTCCCAGATTCATTTTGTATGAGAATATCTCTTAACACCAATGTCATCTGCTTTATTTCCTCTATAGAGACTTATGTGCAGAGAAGCAAACAGTTGGTGCTCTTCTGACAAAATATGCTCGCTCCTCAATGCAGAATGGTGTTAAAGTTTATAATTCTAGAAGACCCATCTCATAACAAGAATTGTTTTAAGAACTGAGAATACTGAATGGAGTAAGAGTGAATGTTGCTTGTTGCTGCCTTCTGAGGAAAGGAGTTGTCAACAGATACTATACAGTGTTCTTGAGTTCAAGCAGCTAAACTTCTTGAATGAGTTCTGTTTTCTGCTCAGCTAAGTAGAATGTGAGGGCCCTTGCCTCTTCTAAGAAACTATAGTGTCAGCAGCCCTTGCCCTTCTTCCTCCACCCCTCTTCCTCTTCCTTTATGTCTGTAGTTATGCCAGGAGTCAAGCCCCTTCTTGAATACACTTTAGCTGTCTATCCATAAACTGAAGTCTGACATTAAAAATTAAAACCTCCTTGATAAGAATTGAATCAATTGGATTGATTTCAACAGCAAAATGGAGTGCTTAGTCTTTTGCCCATTAGTGAGCATTCTTAAATTAAGATTTTGTTGCAGTGTTGACATTTTGAATACTGCAGACCTTGACAAGCACATGAACAAATTATTCCTGACTGAGACTACACTAGTCTTAATTTTGGAAGGTGGTTCTTCTTGTGGTCGTGTCTGTGAATAACATTGGCACAAGCTCTTGACACTTTAACACTTGGCAGAATTGCCTTTTAAATATTACAAAAAAACCAAATTGCAATCAAGTGTGAAGATATGAGAGGACAGTTGGACGTTGTGTTATGAATTTCCTATAAACTGCCATTAGAACGTAGCTGATGTAAAATTAATGTTTTACAGGAGACTACCTTGGCTTTTCAAAGAGAGCTTGTAAAACTTGGTAATATGATTATTTTTTTTTTAAAACTTTGTTAGGCAAAAAACTGCGCACAGAAATTGTCTCTTGAAACTTAGGGTGGAATATTATTCTGTGTTAAGCAATGAAACAGGATTTTTTTTTATGATATTGTCATGAAGTGGAGTGCCTGAAATTGAAATTTTATAATCATTAAAAAGGATTGTTTGCATGTCAGTGAACCAGAGCTCAATATTAGGCATTTTTCAGATTTTTTTTTTTTTTTAACTTAACAGTTGTAGGGTTTTTGATGCAGCAAATGCTTTTTGTATAAAACTCAGATGTAAGGTATGCAAAACTTTGGAATGGCTAGCATGCCCAGTGTCGGGTGAGTGGGGAGAGGAGAGAAACTATACATCAAATGTAGCTCTTAAGATGGATGTGTGCATCCTTGGAATTCTGTTATAGTTAAAAAGCAGAATAAAAACTACTTCCTGAGCTCCGCTTATTCCTGCCCACTGATGCAAGATCAATTCCGTGTATTCCACACGTCTGCAGTGTACGAGTGTGGTGTTTGACCCGGCTGGCTTGTCATGGCTCTCTGCCGGGAAGAATTGCCTTGTTCACTGTCTGGATTCGCCAGCCGTGGTCCTTTCAATAGCACTGGAAGGTTCCCTCTCAGAGAGATCTCACCAGCCGTGGTCCTTTCAATAGCACTGGAAGGTTCCCTCTCAGAGAGATCAACGGTAACACGAATGTGAGAGCCTTGGAAAGAACTTCCATTGCAGCATATAAGGTTCCTTAGTTGAAACACCAAGACAATTAATAGTGTTGTAGTCTGTGATACAACATTGTATATTTACATTGGGTTTTAAGTATTGCATGAGTGGAGCTGTGTCATAACACCAAGGTAATGATTGAGGTTTATCTAAATTATTTTTGCCTGTGTGATCATTCTACATGTTCACAGTGCTTCTGATTTGTTTTCTCGAGACATTCAAAATGAGACGATGCTTTAAATTTCAAGAACTGCTGATGCTGAAAGGGCTAACTCCATTAGCTGCTTTGATGCAAGCATTTATTTATTGTAATGTAAAATAGATAAACTAAAACTTCCTTATGATAGAACAGATCCTCGTTATGAAGAAACTTCATATTGTGTCCTGATACTGCAACTAAAGATGCTCCACAGCACACCTGGGGTGGGAGGGAAGAGGTCGTTGGACCCCGTCTCATCTTGTGGCCCTGTGCCATGTTTCCAGCAGCATCGTTACTCTTAAATCCTTTTTTGATTCAGAAGCGAAGACCGCTGCGTGTCGGTGTCTTCCTGGGAGTCTGCGTTGGGTGCGCCCCCGAGGCCGGCCCCCAGGGGAGCTCAGGTACACTCGGTTTGCGCATGCAAGCAGATGGAGCCTTCGTCCGTCGCTCCTGCAAATGCCGGTAGCGAGAGGCTCACGCGTGCGTAAGGCAGCAGTAGCGGGCGCAGCCGGGGATCCGGCT